GTTAACCAAGAACCACAAGATTCAAAAAAATACATATATCTGATTTCATTTATGTACAGTTCAAAATGAAAAAAAAATTATTTCTGATAATAGAAGTCAAGGCAGCCATTATCTTTGGAGAGTGACGCTGACATAGTGAAATATCAGTAATATATATCTAATATAATCTATGTCATACTTATATAGATATATCAGTAATATATAGTGATATAGATGGGCACAATCAAGGTTTTTCAGGATGTTAAAAATATTTTATTTCAAGACCTAGGTGCAAGCGACATGAGTGTACTCATTTTGTAATAGTTTGTCAAGTGGTATAATTATGAAGTGTATGCCTTTCTGTGTTTGTATTATATGTCAATAAAATATAAAGAAAAAGAATAGAAATGAGGGAGTAAGTGCTGGGCATTTACAGAGAAGTCAGGTAAAGATGGTTCTCTACCAAAGCTGCCTTGCACACAAAGGCGCAAGGCTTTTCTTGATAATACTATGGGAAATTAAATTCACTTCAGAAATTCTCTAGGATAAGAGATCTTCTCTACAAGGTAATTACAGATCTTTTTTCATGAGATCTAAGAGAGAAAAATGAGATCCAAAAGCAAATAGAGCATCAAACAATGTTATTACAAAAAAACTTTTAGTACCATCTTAGAGGGAAAGTGTGAAACTAGGAAATGGATCACATAATTAGGATTCCTCATTTCCACTTCACTTACTAATTATCTTAAAAACAAGGAAACGTACTAATGGGACTATTTACTCATCTAAGCAAGACTGACAACTCAAAGACTTAGCAAGGAGGAGAGAAACAGACTGTTTTACAAAATGCCTTTGTTTTCTATAAATGCTAGCAGAGTAGTTCAACAACTATTTTTCTACTTAGCTATAACTAGTACTATATTAGGAATCATGAAGACAACAGAAGGTAGATTTCTGAGGAGTTTTAATGTAACAACAGGAGATGTATTAAGATGAAAATCAGAAATGACAAAATAATCCCCAAAGAGAATATAGTAGGTGACTTCCAGGAGTAAAATTACTGAGAGTGAAAATGAGAGGGATACTATGAACCTAGTTTATCAAAAGCCTTAAATAACACATTAAAAAGTCTTCATTTAAACTCATAATAATATTTTATCTAGATTCCATATCCACAGTTTGTAGGGCCTGTTATGTTCAACATGAATCATCCAGAATGATTCTTAGTTATTAGGAATATTAAATCCTGGTATGCTAGTGATACAGCTATACTCAAAGATTTCTGTAGAACTTTAAAGCTAGCCTCTATGACATCACCTCAAATAATTAGGAATATACCTCAAATATCTTCAACAGTCCTGAATAAATTCCTATTGATCTATGTGTAGTTTAGATTATGAGATACTACCTTCATTTATCTTTCTTAACATAATTTCTCCAACATTAAAAACACATAATACTTAACACTGTATCTAACACAGAGAAAATTCTATTTATTGGGCTTAGATCATCAAATTACACCAATATATTAAGAATATTATCTCTCTCCTGATGTGGAAGACTTTGATCATCTTTCTCTCTCTGAGACAGTTCTTTTTCTAGACTGGAAAAAAACTAGAAAAGCCCCCACACACATACCTTTGATCAATTTAATTGGGTTTCTGGAGACTTTTATCAATCAGCTGTTAGATTTTTCTTGAGGAACAGCCACCAGAATTTTCTTTCTGATTGTAGGCAAAAATTCAGCTTTGATCTTCATGGAAAAAAGTTTTGTTTTGTTGTTGACACATTCCTGAGATTTTCCACCATGTTTTTGACATTTGAGAGACATAATCATGACCAGACCTTCTTTTCTTATGGTGAGATCCAGTGATTTTCAATGTTTTTAATTATTTGTTGTCAAATACAGACACTACTGGTATATCTCTAGCCCTTACACTAATCTTCACTAAGTATCCCAGATACAGTTATTTATATCTCTTTCAGCTGAAGGAGACAGTCCATGATTCCAGAAACTCTTATGCCACCCTTTCACTTTTATGATCAGAGACCGTGTCCCTAATTTGTAACATCTCCCTTGCAGAAAATTGCTACTTTTGCTTTTTTGTGTCCTGAATTTCTTCTGTATCCTTTTTTTTTTAAAATATTTTTCTTTGTTGAAGTATGGTATATACACCTTCACTGGTTTCTAGAGTCTTTCTTTGAGTCGTAATTAGGAGTCCTCAGTCCATTCATCACGTAAGTATGGATAACTTTACCTTTGTCTAAACATATGTATGACCTCACATAATGAAATGCCATCTACTGTTCTGCTCACTGCAGTTTAGTTTCATCAGCTTTCCTTCACTCTTTCTAAATATATTGGTAGGAAACCCAAATTACTGTCCACTGGAGGATGCATGCTTCTATCTCTGATCCCCTCTGTACAAGCTGTAACCGCAGCGGCTTATGTTGAACAACTAAAATATAAAATATGACCTACGTGGCTAAGTCTCACAAGGTTGTTTATTTCCTAATATATGAATCAGAATTTGTCAGTACCACTTAGAATTTTGACTGTCAGCAGATACTACGATTAAATGTCACTGCAAAACCAGCAGAGGGTGCACCAGGGCACTAGAAATTTTACCCAAGATATAGCACATCAATTTAACTGGATTAGCCAATCAACTGTTCCTTAATTTATTTATTTATCTATCTATCTAACTATCATCTATCTACCTACCTACCTACCTACTTACCTATCTATCTATCCATCTACATGCTAAAACTAATATCCTCAAGAGGAACAAGTTGAATCTGGGCTAAAATTTCCTCAGTATTTATTTGAATTCTCCTGAAAGTGAAATTCAAGATGAATAAGGAATACATGGTTAAACTTAAGTCTGGCCAAAGTGTAGTCAGAGCAGAACAAAATGACACAGATCTGAACCCTTCATTTTGTAAAACAACAAACAAACAAACAAACAAAACCTATGGAGTGCCAACCTGGCAACTTGTTGTCCCTTCATTTCCCTTCCCCCACAAAGAAAAAAATTCTCAGCAGACACTATATTATTGGGGAATGTGTACTAAATTGGAAGGTGAGGGAGCACCTTAATCCTAGTTTTGACTCAAATGATGATATCTTGGGCCACTTATCTCTTGAGAACTATATGTTCTCCAAAGGAATCAATAAAATAGACTCAGGTGGTACCTTACAAATTTGGAAAACTTCAATTCCAACTGATACCAATAAATGTAAAGAACTAGTATCTTTTGACTGCCCCCAAAATACTAAAATAGAAAGACTCAAGAGCAGCAGATAAGAAGCTGTACTGAAACACATAAGTACTTTAGTACTACACAAGGGTAAGCAACTAAATGCCATTGCAAAGCTATGAGAGTCCCATGCCATCACAGAAGCTCTAGAATACAGTTGTCCCACCAATCCCCAATCTGTAAACAGGGCTCTAGCCACCCTGATTGCCAAAAAACCTTGACCACCATTTGAGCAACAAAATTTAATTCCTTCATAGATAGATAGACAGATAGATATACATATATACATATGGATATGTGTATATATATATATATATATATATATATATATATATATATATATATCACAAAATATCAATGTGCAGCTACTAAGTATCTCTACCGGGGATGAGGAGGGGGAGACAAATAAAAGACCTCCATAGTCCTAATTAATTCTCATTTAGCTATAGCGTTCAGAGTTTCGAGTATGAGAAGCATGGCTGCTGATTCTATTCTTTGATAAGCTGTTGTATAAGTTGGTGTGTGTCTGAAAGACACTTTAGATCTGGGGCAATTTTACCAAGCACACTGCAAAAGAAGACAGGTGTCAGTCCTGACATTGGAGTATTGTCATGAATGTCATAGCTCTAAAGTGTACAACTCTGAAGGCCAAAGTGGCACAAATAATGCTTAATGAGTTGTGACAATGACTATGGATGTAGCGCCAACTATAAAAGGCTTCCATGCCTCACCTCAAGTAAGTTAATTACACAACTTGTTTTCTCCATAAAGGACAAATTCACCATTAGTCTTTAACCACCTCAAAAAAAAAAAAAAAAAAAAAAAAACCTTGGATGCCTTTCCTAAGATTCATATGGGACACAACTATAGCAACCCCAAGAATACTTAATATCAACTACACTAAACTAACTTGAATAAAGAGTTAGAAAAACAACCAAGCTACTGGTTTGCTAAAAGGGATACAAACACTCTCAAGATTATAAACACCAAAACAAAGTGTCAACTTCCTGCTCTGAAAGTTATAATGAAAAGTCTTCACACCCACTGCACCCCACTCCATCCACAAGGGTGTCAGAACCGGCATGCAAAGGGTGAGTTTTATTTCCATACATTTTTTTAAAATTGCTGTTCAGAAGTTGTCTAGCAGGACGGCATATTTCTACCAGAATTCCTCAGGGGCGCTGATCCTCACTAGAACGCAGAGGACAATCGGTCTCAAATTGCAGGTAAGTGTGAAAAAGCTCACTTTCTGGTCAGCGCACAAGAACCCGGCGCTGAAAGTAAGGTTAAAAGTTGTTTCAACGGGCGTGGAACAGTTATTACAGCTGTTTACAGCTCCAACTCCAAAGAGGAGCCTGCTAGTGCTCGCATCAGTTCCGGACACGAAGAAACAAGCACCGTGGGCAGAGAACTTCAACAGGGGCACAAGGGGCCAAGCTGCTAGCCATTAGAGGGCCACGGGGGCGACGCAGGCACCTCTTCCACCCGCTGGGAGTGAGGCCGGCCAACTTTTCCCGAAGCAACCCACACCCCCGGGGGGCGGCGCGTGCAAGTCCATGGGACCTGAGACGGTCTGAATGAGCCATGCCAGGAACTGAGGACAACCTGCCCAGGACGACTTCTCCCTAGCACTCTGGCCCACTCCCAGGTCCTGCCCTGTAACTTTGCTCAGAGTGGCAGAGTCCCCTGCGGCGCAGGCCCCCGCCCAACCTAGCAGGGGAGGGGGCCTCCAAGGCCGCCGCCCCTCCTAGGTGACTCACCTGGTGCCGGTCCTGGGAGTCAGGGGGGAGTGGATCTTCTCCCAGTTCCAAAGGCTGCTGTTGGAAGGACGGCTGCCCGAGGTGGCGGGTGATGGGACCGACAGGGTCGAGGCTACCAGGGCTGCTTAGGGTGCCAGAGGTGCCAGGAGCACCCGGGCCGCCAAGGCGGGACTCTGTTCCCCGTTCCCGCCGCAATTCGGACCGCAACTCTAGGTAGCAGCAGAGCGTCAGCAGGTGGAGGGCCAGCGAGAGGCCAAAGAAACCCAGGAAGAGCCGGCAGCTGTTCCCTTCGCCCGCCCGAACAGGGGCCCCGCGACAGCCGCAGCCCTGGCTGCCCCGCTCCCTTGGCGCTGCCTCGGGCAGGGGTTCCCTGCGCTCTACCTCAGGGTAGCCCATGGCCTCCAGAGACAACCACTGTCTGAGGCCCGGGAGCCTCTGCCTCTGCCTCAGTCTTTCAAGACCCCTGACAGGCGGCTACTGTCCTGCCATCGGCTGGGGGCTGCAGGGACCCGTTCCTGAGCGACGGTGGCTGGGCGGGACAGAACAGGGAGCAGCCGCATGTGCAGCTCCACTCCGGGGGGTGGGAAAGGGAGGAGGAGGGGCGGGAGAGAGGCGGTGCTGCACAAGAGGGAATGAGGGAGGAGGTCCCCACCTACCCCGCCCCATGCCTCAAGGGGCGGCCGGAATGCCCAACCACGGGCCCGCCAGGCCTGAGCGCCCCGCCCCCTGCCGTTCCACTCGAGCCTTCAGCCGTGGGGCGGGACCTGGGGGCGTGGGGATTCACCTCTGCCTGGCAGCCCCACCCAGCCCTCCTGCTTGCCCCGTTGCAGTTGGTGACTGCCGCTGTCGTTCATCTCTGGACTCCACCCCCCCCTTTAACCCTTCAGCGCCGCCATGGGGGAGGGCAGGAGGGGGAGGCTGAGAAGAATTTGGGAACCTTGGAAAGAATGTGGAGCAAAGGAAAGGGGGCAGAAACTAGCATTAATAGAAATGTTTGCAATTAACCGTAGTTGCTAATAACATCATCCAGTACTTATCTGTTGCTTTCAATCTTCAAAGCGTTTAACAGACGTTAAACTAATTAAAACAGTTCAGGGGTTTGGAATGAAACCATGCCTGCTGTGTTTGCAATTCAATGTCTCGCCAGAAGAAAAGGAGACCTAAGAGCCTAGGAACCAAACAGATGGGGGATAGGCAACCTCACTCCTAGAAGGGAGCATAGGGAGGGTGCTTACTGCCAAGTAAAACTGAACTGATGCTCTTCCTTGAATAGTAAAACAGTCTCCTGGATTTTTTTTTTTTTGATAAATTAATCCATTCAACAGATATGCATTGATCCCCTTTACACCGCAGAAAGCGCTGTATGAGAGAACTCACAGCCAAAAGTTTATCTTCTTCCTGGACTACAGAAGTTTTGAAAGAACATGAGCCTTCAAGATGCAGGTGGGGAGACTGAGGGTCACAACGAGGTGAATTTTTACAAGGGTGGTCCACAGACTAGCCAGACCCTACTGGCATCTCTCCTTGCAGACGACTGTTCTGGCCTCTCCACCCTTCCCATGCTTCCCCTGGAGTGTTCCCTGGGGGAAGTTCAACAAGTCAGCCAAATGTTCCAGATGTACACTGCTGCAACTGCAGCATCTTCAACAGCTGCGCCAATCAGAAACAGGGGCCGAGAGAACATGGCAAAGGTCAGAACAATAGACCTGGAAGTGAAGGCTGGAAAAGATTAGTTGTCAAGAGTCACAACTGACAAGAGATACTAGTCCCGAGATTTTAGCAGGGCAAGCATACACTTCTTTAGCCAGTAGGCACTCTCATTTCCATGTAATTGAGAAATTAATAATTAGTAATTTTATTGACTTGAAGGAAGCATAGTAAAAAGCCACTGAGGAGGTTCAGGGATGCCCCAGAGCACTTAAAGGTAGGCCTAACACCTGGGCTGATAAGGGAGAAGAAAAACACAGAAGAATATAGAAGAGGAGACAAAAGAAAAACAAAACCAGAAGCATATGGTGGAGAGGTCAGTGCAGAGAGCACAGAGGTCAGAAGCTTTAAATATATCAGCCGCAGACAAGTTTTCTTTCATAGCCTTGTGAATAGTCTCAGTGCTTCACAAATATGTTTTTGTCCTCTTTCTAACCTTCCCCCACGAAACAAAGTTTGCAAAGGATCTCATCATCACACAGATAAAGAGGAAAAGAAAAGCTTGCAACGGCAGCTCTCACGATCTACTTGTCCAGACCAGGAATTCTAGATGCTAGGAAAACCGCCAAGCTGATTTACTTTAATTATCACAGCCAGGATTATTGAAAAGAATGCTAGATCAGAAGTCAGGAGGCTTTGCTCTGCCACTAGTTTGTTGGGTCACTCTGAGCAGAGCTATGTACCTTTTTTTTTTTTTTTTTTTTTTTTTTTTTTTTTTTAGGGAGTGGGGAAGCACTGACTTGCTTTCTCCAACTGTAAAATGAAGAGTTTAAACTGTTGCAGCTATTACATTACGCCTTATCTGTCTCATCGCTGGCTATGTTTAATTTATTGCGCACACAGTTTAAAGAGACTATCTTTTCTTCTTCTAAAATGAGAGGGAAATAAATCAAGTCCATCTCCTTATGGTGGTGGTAGTGGTCATGGCCTTAGTGGTGATGCTTAAGGATCTTAGTGGTCTCTGCTTCCCATGTTCTACCAGAATTTTAGTTTTTAAAATGTATCAGTTTGTGTGTGTGTGTGTGTGTGTGTGTGTGTGTGTGTGTGTGTGATGGGTGGAGCTTACATGCCACTGAGCACATGAGGACATAAGGAGGTCAGAGGACAACTCTGTGGAATCTGTTTTCACTCTCCACCTTTACGATAAGTCCCAGCATCAAAGTCAGGTCATCAAGCTTGCACTGTAGATCAGCGCCTTCATCTGCTGAGCCATCTCATTGTGGCTCTTCTTATAATAATTGAACCAAGAAAGATTTTGTTTGCCCTATTGCCCTCAGAAGCCTTCAGAATTGCATTTGATCTAGAACCTCATTTTAATTCTCAGGAGGCTTTATATGCTTTAGAAATATCACATTGAGCAGGGCAGTGAGAAATGCATGTGGTTATAATAATTAGCATTATATTAATGAAGTGCTATGGATTGAACCTAGAAATTTCATATGCACTAGGCCCCCATCCTACAAGTTTCCTTTTATTAATATGTTGTGTTGTGTGTGTTGATGCATTGCTTCAGTCAGCTTCTCTGTTTTCATGTCCCCTACTGCATAAGTCTCAAAACAATAAACCTGTGGGTGACATTCAGCAAACAGATGTGTCGTGTTTGATGTAATATTGGCTAAAACAGGGAAAGAAAATTACTGAAAAGAAAATTCAATTCTAGCATTTAGAAATCTGGAAGTTTCACATTTTTAGATTGCTGCTTTCCTACTTTTCTAAATATAAAAAAAAAATTCACAAGACCTGTTAACATTGGATATGCATTACCTATGGCTATACCCAGCTAAAACTGCCCCTTTGAGATAAATAGGAATAATCAAGTTCTACATAACCCTTACCTTACTTGTCTGATGCAAAGGTATAGGCTCTTGGCTGCCATATAATCTGCCATTCCAACATTATTATTTGCTACCTTGCAAAGAAGTCATGCTACCGCAAGCTAAATTCTCTATCTCTTCCCATACCTCTGCACATTAGCCTAAGCTACTATTTTTTATAAGAAGGGTTGCCCACCTGCAAAACAAGATAAATCCTTCAAGAATCAATGTGCATATTCTTTTTACTCTAGCCTTACAACTCACTTCAGATTTTCTTTCATGCTTTCATTGCACATTGAAGGTACATACCTTAAAGATATCAAGTATCATGTCATATTTTATTTCATATAGTTTTCTCACCACTAAACTGAGCTTCTTGGTGATAAGAATAATGCTTTTTCTTTTCTTTCTTTTTTTTATAATCTTTAACTACATTCTAAGCATTTATTCTTTTTTTGTCATTTTTTAACTTTTATTAATTGCACTTTATTCACTTTGTATCCCCCCATAAGCCCCTCCCTCCTCCCCTCTCTATCCCACCTTCCCCCCACTTCTTCATGAATGCCCCTCCCCCAGTCCACTGATAGGGGAGGTCCCCCTCTCCTTCCTTCTGATCTTAGTCTATCAGATCTCATCAGGAGTGGCTGCATTGTCTTCCTCTGTGGCCTGGTAATGCTGCTCCCCCCTCAGGGGGAGGTGATCAAAGAGCCAGCCAATCAGTTTATGTCAGAGGCAGTCCCTCTTCCCAAGAGTCATGCTTTTTCAATTTTTATACTCCCAGACCTACCATTCAATTAGCTTCAAAATTGTTTGTCAACTGAATAGGCATGAAGTCATCTACAATGAGTTAGAGTACCTAGACTTCCAAAGAAGGAAACTTGTTTGTGGGATATCTGTGAATTCAGTTTAAGAAGCATTTCTTGAGTCCCAAGCTGCATAACATATATGGAAAGATACAAAGAACATAAAACCACATGACGGGGTAGGGATGTGGCTCAGGAATAAGTAATAAGAATTAAGTAAAGTCACAAGGCCTTGGATTTCATCCTCAGCATCAGCAATACTAGGAACTGGGCTCAGGGCCTTGTTCATGTTAGGTAAACACTATACCAGTGAACACCCCCCCAGCTCCCTCATTGGCTGTTCTTTCCCAAGGAATTTCATTTCCTATGTTTATTTGTATTGGCCAACTATTAAAGTAATAGGAATTGACAACCCCTGAACAATAATATTAAATAAGGTGACAAACCATATGCATGTTTGTAGTCCCAGATACTTGGAAGGCTGAAATGTAAAAATCACTTGAGTGCAGAAATTTAAGGACAACCTATAGTCAGACTCACATCTCAAAACACAAAAGCAAAAATGTTGACAGTCCCTGTACACCCACCAACTAAGTGGAATGTGCTAAGGAATTGGGCAGGAACTGATGTTAAATACTTAATATTTGATTAAGTATTTAATTGATACTAAATATTTAATATTAATAAACCTCCAGTAGATATGGTCAACGCACAGAATAAATAACTGGTATAGAGATCAGAAGGGTAACTATGATGCAAGTACTGATTGTTGGTAGTTGAGAGGAATGCATTTGGAAATAGATCCTCATTTGAATCTTAGGTTATTTACTTCTTAGCTATGTGATTTAATACAAGTAATGATTGTCTTAGACCAGCTCAGTTTTCTCATGTGGAAAATAGAGATGACATTATATGCTTTCAAAATAGGTATTTTGTAAGACAGCTGTGCTTAAACAGGATGTGTGGAAGAGGGAAGAGTTTTGCTCTACTCTCTTAGGGTTTTTGGCAATTGAGCCTATTAAATAAACTGACAGCAGGCAGATTAGGAGGAGAAAATGAATGTAAGATATACGATTTACAAAAAAGCATCAACATGAAAGAAAAAGATGAATGTCAAATATGCAATGAGATTTAGAAATATGTCTATCCTCATCATAAGGGAGAGGGAGGTGAATGGAGACAACTAAGGAGAATATACATTTAAGAACAGTTCAGTGGAAATTCCTCCTTA